TGTGTGAATCTTTGGAATATTTAAATCTAAATCATATTATGTTCACTGCTAAGACAGGGGAATTTTAAAGCTTCTATTTTGGGGAGAATGGATTGGCCATATTTAAAAGCAGAAAGTGTAATTTTTAACAATTTACAAAACTAGGTTATTACTCCCCCACTTAAAATTTCCAGTGGATTCCCTTCACAAGGAAATAAACTCTGAAATCCTTCTCTTGGCCCATGAGGCCATGCATGAGCTCTCCCCTGCTTGCTCTTTTACCTGACCTCCCGCCCTTATGTACTTTGCTCTGGTCTTGTCACTTATTCCAGCACAGGGCCTGTGTACCTGCTCTTTCTACCAGGAGAATTCTCCTCTCGTTCTGTATTTGCACTGTGGACTCCTTCTTGCCACTTAGTTTTCTGCTTACATGTTACCTCCACAGAGAATCCTTACCTGACACCCCCAATATAAAGTAAATCAATGAGCACTCTCACGAATAAGCTGAGTGATTTTTGACAAGTTAATCTCCCTAAAGCTAATTTATTAATTCAAAAATAGGGCTTATAGGCAGGGCACGGTGGCTCACACCTGTAATCCCAGCACTTTGGGAGGCTGAGGTAGGTGGATCACTTGAGGTCAGGAGTTCGACACCAGCCTAGCCAACATGGAGAAACCCCATCTCTACTAAAACTACAAAAAAGTAGCCGGGTGTGGTGTCAGGCACCTGTAATCCCAGCTGCTCAGAAGGCTGAGGCACAAGCATCACTTCAACCTGGGAGGCAGAGGTTGCACTGAGCCAAGATCATGCCACTGCACTCCAGCCTGGGCAACAGAGTAAAATTCTGTCTTTAAAAAAAAAAAATAGGGCCTATAATAACTCATAGGGTTGCACGAGCATCAAATGAGATGAAATAAGGAGTGTGTAATAGATGAGTCACTCTATGAAGAAGGTCATTCTCACAGTCAACTCCCTCCTCCAGACCTTCATGTGTTCTCACTGTCCTCCTGTAGCCCGTGTCTGGCCTTTCCATTTTCAGTCCCCCTCACTCCAATGTATCTTATATTCCACTGTCAGTTTGATGATATTAAAATTCTATTTTTAAAAAATTATTTCCCCACTCTTTTAAGAATGTAAACCTCCACACTTCCCCCCACTTTCGGCCCCCTTTAATCACCATGAGCCATTCCTTAAGCACTTAGGAATTCGAATAGTACAGCTTTAGGACTGAAACTTTGTAGATGCCGTAAAGACAACTTGAAGGCATCTTTGTTTCCTAGGCCAAAATTTGTAAATTTTATTGCTCATCTGAGTTATTCTGCTCATTAAGAAAAAAGGAAATCGATGTCCTTGAGACTTGCCTTCTCTCTTGTGATTGACTGTGGCAGTTGGCAGAACCTGGCAAAGTTGCTGTGATGGTGAGAATGGTGAGAGAGGTTCCAATGATGGGCACAAGTGTTGTCGCCAGCGAGGTGTGTGCAGGCAGTGGAAGGAGGTCTGACCGGAATATCAACAGAGGGTGATAATACCTTTTTAGGACCCACCAATTGGGCTTCTAGGGACTGAAGGGTGAGTAGAGCCAACACTGCCCCCAGCACTCAGTCAAAGAACATTGAATAGGATTGAATTGAATTAAACTGAACCATTAAAAAGGCAGCATTTTAAAAGCTGTGAGAGTAATTTGGAACAAATTTAGGAAGAAAGTAGAGTGATGTCAGATGTATGCTAATTGGGGCTGCTTTTTTTTTTAAGGTGAAAAGGAAATCATTTCAATTTAGGTTAATGTAGGCCTCATTGAAGAAAATACCTCAGTGGGCTGGATTTATAATAGATACTCTGAGCACTGCCAGATTGTTTGCAGGGGATTAAAGTACTTTTTCTTTTTAACACTTGGCAGTCATAGAATCCGAACTCTGGATCAGGCAGATAATAAGAAATCTGCTATTCCATAGCTTCTCAAACTTCAACATGCAAAGGAATCACCCAGGCAACCTTTTTAAAATGCAGATTCTGATCCAGTGGGACCCGGGTGAGGCCTGAGACTCTTCCCTTGCAACAAACTCCAGATGAAGCTGATGTTCTAAGGACCTCATTTTGAAAGGAAAGGGTCTGTTTTAACCTCCTTGTTTCCTAGAAGAGAAACTGAGGGTCTGAGAAGTGAAATGTCTTGTCTATGCTCCCAGATTGTCTGGTTCTAGTCAAGTGCCTTTTTTCTATTGTGCTTTGAAGTTTTATTGAGAGTCTGTAGATATCACAGCACCACACAAAGCTACCTGAGTGGTGACAGCCAAGGCATGTTGGCAGTCCTACCAAGGGCAGAGTAGGACAAAGCCTGGAAGAAGGAGGAGGTGGTGACCAAGTGTTGCTGGCCAACAAAGTCATGCTAACACATATAGCAGGTGTATTTAAATCACTGACTCAAGCAAAAGAGAATGGGATTAGCAGATAATAGTTTTAACATTCTTTTCTATAATTTTAAAGTTAGTAGGCAAACAGGGTTGATGTCAGGGAGATATTTTTAGGCAAGGGGCCCTCTCAGCACCCCTCACATGATGTCAGTGACTAAACCATTCTGCCTCCTCATGTGGCTGGCCCTGGCAATAATGATTTATTTCTGAGCTTTAACTTCAGGGAAAGTGATGAGGTTAAAATTTAAAGGTCAAAGATATTTTTAACTCTTAACCTATTAACCAGCCAATTAATTACTTTAATTATGCATTGTTGACCTGTTTCTCTGCTATGGAAATATTTAATTGTAGGGAAAGAAAATTTGTGAAGTTAATTATTAAAGTAATCTCTTTGCCTTCTTGAGATTTTATCACAATCAATTTGCTGAGGATAATTCCCACATTAGGTTCCATAATCCTTGGCTTCGACGCTGCGATTCCAGTACCTTCACTTTATCCTAAAACATAGCCACCCTTTTCCAGATCCATTCCACTTCGCAATCTGATTTCTCCAGCTATACTAGAAATCTCTCTACCTTTATACTTATTAGTTATTGAATTAGCTAGTTAATTCTCATATCTGGTGTTTATGTATCAGTACTATTCTATTAAATTACCATTGTATTGGCCAAGAAAGTGCTAAAGTAACTGGATTGTCTAGAGGTATCTGGGACTCAACCTGTCTGCTTGATTACTTGTAAGCCAACACACCCTAGTTTCACCAGGACCGCGCCCCAGCATACACCTTGGAGACCTTGCTGCTGTGGAAGCCCTGGAAAAATTAAATGAAGTTAGGTGATTATACACAGTGAATTTGCTTGTGCCCAGGAAACAGACATAATTATAACCCAGACACCTATAACAGAGACTTGGGGTACATATGGAGGTTACAGAGACAGACAGGAAGGAACCAGGAGTTAAGGTATCTGAATAGTTACTTTTGGTCTCCTTTTACTTGGCATTGGTGGCTTTAGCCTGTACACATCAAAGGTCAGAGTGTACAGAATCCCTTTTCCTGCATAGGCCACTTCCCAGGATGTCCTTAGCTGAACTTTGAACCAGTGAAAAACAAGAAAATAAACACTGTTCCCTTACCTTGCCAATTTTTAGTGCATGCAACACTATACAGTTATTCTAGAAGCGAGAAACTGTCTATACGTATAACTTTTGATACCTCAAGTATCATTAGTTATTTTACTTTTATCCCTCTGAATATGCAAAATTGTTCAAGCTTAAAACAATCTTTGGTTTTGGTGCATAAGCCTGTATAAGTTTCTCAACTTGAAAAATATCTCACTTATATTTCATGGATGCACTTTGGACTCAAGAGAGCTGGGGAGAAGAGGGCCACACTTAGAGAATATTGTTGGAGAATAAAAGGTTTTAAACTCTGCAGAGTTTCAATAGTACATACAGAAAATACAGTTGTGCTTGTTAACCGGTAGCATGACACAGCAGATGAAATTTTAAGCTACGTGAGAATGACTTGCAATTAAACACAGCAAGTATTGACTGGAGAAAAGATCACAACATTTAGACTTCAGAAAAGAGAAATTCTGACCAAGCGCAGCTGCTCTTGCTTGTATTCTCAGCACTATGGGAGGCCAAAGCGGGGGGGTGGATCACTTGAGGCCAAGAGTTCGAGACCAGCCTGGCCAACAGGCAAAAACCTGTAGAAATAAGTGAAACCCCGTCTCTACTAAAAATACAAAAATTAGCCAAGCGTGGTGGCACAGGCCTGTAGTCCCAGCTACTCAGGAGGCTGAAGCAGAGGATCTCTTGAACCTAGAAGGTGGAGGTTGCAGTGAGCTGAGACTGCGCCACTGTGCTCCAGCCTGGGCGGCAGAGGGAGACTCTGTCTCAAAAAAAAAATAATTACAATGAATTAAATAAACAAATAACAGAAATTCTGGGCCAGGCACAGTGGCTCACACCTGTAATCCCAGCAATTTTGGAGACTGAGGGGGGAGATCACTTGAGGCCGGGAGTTCAAGACCAGCCTGACCGTCAAGGTGAAACCCCATCTCTACTAAAAAAATACAAAAATTGGCCAGATGTGGTGTGTGCCTGTAGTCTCAGCTACTCGGAAGGTTGAGGCAGGAGAATCACTTGAACCTGGGAGGTAGCGGCTGCAGTGAGCCAAGATGGTGCCACTGCACTCCAGCCTGGGCAACAGAGCAAGACTGTCTCAAAAAAGAAAGAAAAGGAAATAGAAATCCTGGGTTCTAGGCCTTCCACTTGTTTCCTCACCACCTCCTCCACTCCCCCAGATCCCCCCACCCATCACCATGTTGTAACTTTACAGATATCATAACTACTCTGGTTGATTATAGAAGAAAGAACCTAAGCTGTCAGAAAGCAAGTACTCTACCTGCTCTTGAATTGGAAACAGAAATTTACACACGGCTGGATCTCATTCTCAGTGCCTGCCTTTCCCCCACATCTTTACATAACTAATTTGCTTAACAATCCTCTTCCACAGGACACAAAAGTGATATGCGGCTCAGCTTCATCTGCATATTCACCTCTGAATATCCTCCTCATGGTGCACCTGCTCCTGTTTGAATGCTTACCTTAATGGAACGGGCTGAGTCAGCATCTGCTTGCACCTGAACCCTTGATTGCAACTAAGCGGATTGCTGGGAGGTGGCCGGGTTGCGTCAGCTGCAGTAGAGGACACAGTTCTGTTGGGAAGGCAGGGAAAGGAGCGAAAACTTCAACAGAAGTAGTCCAAGTGTTGAGAGTTAAAAATAAAACGATATCACAAGGGGCAATGTGACCAGGCTCAGCTTACGACTTTTTCCTTCCCCTGTATTTATCAACACTCAGTCTCTCCTGGAGTGGCATTTAGCAGGGGAAACTGAATGGGAAGTGAAGTTTTATGTCAATAGGTTTTCCTTCCCTAGAGGAAGACAGAAAATCCTTTTAAGAAGGATCATTTTCAAGAGCAGCCTCTCAGATTCCTACATGTGCAATCGGCCGGCCCAGCTGTGCTGGAGGAGGCTGGCAGAGCATTCAGGACTGGCTGCTGCTCTAATTATAACCATGCTCCTCACCTAAACCCACCACTGGCTGAAGCAGCAACTTGTGTAAGTGACATGCTGTCCTGCTTCAGTTTCTCCTATCTCTTGTCATGACAAGTAAGTGTGTATCCTCCCCTGGTCCTCTTCTCTCCTAGGTGGCTGGAAAAGGGAGAGTTTGTAATTCAGAAACCAGGTGTAGAGTAAATCCAGTGGGAGAGAATTAGAGGTTGTAGGAGGCGTTAGCTGTCATTTAGTCCAACTCTCTCTTTTTACAGATGAGGAGACAGAGATTCAGAAAAGGGAAATTGCTCATCCAAGGTCACACATCTTGTAAGTGGAAGAGCCAGAGGAAAGCCCCAGAGAGCTTGTTTAACTCTCAGTCTAGTGTTCTTTATCTTATCATCTTCAGATAAACTCATTCAGGATCTTGTGAAGAAAAAAGCAAATAGAATCCTGGCTTTGGTGTTTTTTTCTTTTTTTTTCTTTTTTCTTTTTTTTGAGATGGAGTCTCGCTCTGTCACTCAGGCTGGAGTGCAGTGGCAGGATCTCGGCTCACTGCAACCTCCACCTCCCGGGTTCAAGTGATTCTCCTGCCTCAGCCTCCTGAATATCTGGGATTACAGGCACACGCCACCATGCCTGGCTAATTTTTGTATTTTTAGTAGAGACCGGGTTTCACCATGTTGGTCAGGCCAGTCTTGAACTCCTGACCTCATGATCCTCCCGCCTCAGCCTCCCAAAGTTCTGGGATTAGGTATGTGATTTTTGGCCAATTTACTTAACCATTTTCTATTTCAGTTTTCTCCATTGTGGAATGGCGATGATACTTGGTTTGACCACATGTAACTGTCAGTACACATAAGGCACATGAATGATATATACCACATAGCAAGTGCTCAACAATGCCAGCTGTTATTTGAATGTATTTGAATGTATTTTGACTAAGAGCAGATGTGCTAAATTTGGCTGTGATTAACAGCCATCGAATTAACCTTTCCCCTGGATTCTTCCATACATATATGTCCATGGAGGTAAACTTATTTGGAATGAGCAAATAGCAGTTTAAAAATTGTAAAAAATTTCTACACTGATCTTGAATCTTGAAACTTTGCTGAACTGGTTTATTAGTTCTAATAGTTTTGTTGTGGATTCCAAAGGATTTTCAAGATCATGCCATCTGTTAACAGAAATATTTTAACTTCTTTCTTTGCAATTTGGATGCCTGTTACTTCCTTTTCTTGCCGTTTTACCCTGCCTAGAACTTCCAGCACTGTGTTTAACAAGAGTGGTGAGAGTGGCCACACTTCACTTGTTCCTGATCTTAGGGGACAAGCATTCAGTCTCGCACCAGTAAGTGCGATGTTGCCTGTGGATCTTTGTAGATGACCTTTATCAAGTTGAAAGTGAGGAGTTTGATTGTTCTAGTTTGTTGAGTGATTCAAGAAAGAGTGTGGATCTTCATCAAATGCTTTTTCTGTGCCCAGCAAGATGATCATGTGGGTTTTGTCCTTCGTTCTATTAATATTGTGTATTACATTGATGAATTTTTTTATGTTGAATCAATCTTCCATTCCTGAATAAACCCTACTTGGTCATGGTATCTATCCTTTTTACATGTTGCTAAATTTAGTTTGTTAGTATTTTATTGAGAATTTGTTTTTTCAAGTCAGATGCATAATGTGCCAACATTGAAACAAGGCTCGAGGGTGGCATTCTCACACATTCGCGTGAATGCCCAGTCATCACACTGATGAACTACAAAAGGACCTTAGTGAGGAATTCTGCATCTATATTCAGAAGAGATATTACAAGTTGAGTATCCCCAATCTGAAAATCTGAGTTCCAAAACGCTTTAAAATCCAAAACTGAGCACTGATGTGACACCACAAGAGGAAAATTCCACACTTGGCCTCATGCGATGGGTCATAGTCAAAACGCAGTCAAAACTTTGTTTCATGCACACAGTTACTTAAAATATTGTACAATTACCTTCAGGCTATGTATATAAGGTATATATGAAACATAAATGAGTTGTGTGTAGGCTGGTGTCCCATCCCCAAGATATCTCATTATGTATGTGCAAATATTCCAAATGCAAAAAACTCCAAATCCGAAACACTTCTGGTTCCAAGCATTTCCGATAGGGGATACTCACTATAGTCCGTACTTCCCTTATGGCGTCTTTGTTCAGCTTTGGTATCTGGACAATATCGATCTCATAAAATGAGTTCCCTCCTCTTTTGTTTTTTGGAAAAGTTTGTGAAGGATTGGTGTCAATTCTTCTTTAAACATTTTGGTAGAATTTAGCAGTGAAGCCATCTGGAACTCGGCTTTTCTTTGTGGGAAGTTTTCAATTGTTAACTCAATCTCCGTGCTTGTTATAACTCTGTCTTAGTCCGCTTTTGTGTTGTTATAACAGAATACCTGAGACTGGGTAATTGACGAAGAAGACAGATTTATTTCGTACAGTGCTGAAGGTGGGAAGTCTTCCAGTCTCAGATGGAAGACGGAGGGGCCACATCTGGCCAGACCCTTCATGTTTCATCCTCCTATGGCAGAAGGAAGGGAGAGGAGGAGGGAAGAGAGACAGAGAGAGAGAGAGACAGAAAAGAGAGAGAGGTGGGGGTGGGGACAAAGATTTTGGGGAAGAGCACTGAATCCATCCTTTTTATCGGGAACCCACTTCTGAGATAACTAACCCACTCCCACAATAATGGCATTAATCCATTCATGGGGGCTCTGCCTAGTCACCCTTAAAGGTTCCACCTCTCAACGCTGCTGCTTTGGGGATTAAGTTTCCAACACATGAGCTGTGGGGGACACGTTCATACCATAGCAAGCTCTATTCTCAACATCTATTTCTTCTGGAGTCAGATTTGGTATTCTGTGTCTTCCTAGGAATTTGTCCATTTCATTTATCTAATTTGTTGGCATTCAATTGTTCATAGTATTTCTTTCTAATAATTTTTATTTCTATAAGTTTGGTGATAAAATCTTGCCTTTTTGTTTCTGATTCTAATAATTTGAGTTTTTTGAGGGGGTGGTCAATCTAGCTAAACGTTTGCCATTTTGTTGATCTTTTCAAAGAACCAGCTTTTGATTTCATAAATTTTTTCTGTATTGCTTTTCTATTCTCCATTTTATTTATTTCTGCTCTAGACTTTCCTTATTTCTGCTTTCTTTGGACTGTTATTATCAATTATTGAGAGTGTTGTATGAATATACCACACTTTAACTATGTATTGGTGAAGTTTTCTTAACAATTTTAATTTTTGTTAAAATTTGTCTCATATATTTTGGGTAATGTTTTTAAGTATATACAAGTTCAGAGTTATTATATATTTCAGGTTAATTGTTCCTTTTGTTGTTGTCTAATATACTTTATTTCTTAAAAAAACTCTTTTGGCCAGGTGAGGTGGCTCACACCTGTAATCTCAGCCCTTTGGGAGGCTGAGGCAGGAGGATAACTTGAGCTCAGGTGTTTGAGGCCAGCCTGGGCAACATGGCAAAACCTCGTCTCTCCTAAAAATACAAAAATTAGTCAGGTGTGGTGGCGTACACCTGTAGTCCCAGCTACTTGGAAGGCTAAGGCAGGAGAATTGTTTGAACCCGGGAGTTGGAGGTTGCAGTGAGCTGAGATTGCACAGTCTGGGTGACAGAACAAGACTCCATCTCAATAAAAAAGTTTTGCCTTAAAGTTTAATTTGACAGATATTAATAAAACTATGCCACTTCCTTCCTGCGTAAAACTATTGATCTGAGACCTTTTTTGTAAAAAAAAAAAAAGATGTAAGCATTTGAAGCTATAAATTTCCTTCTAAGCATTGATTTAGCTTTATCCCATGTTTTGGTTTGTTGTGCTTTTGTTTTTTTCAGTTACAAGTGTTTTCCAATTTTACTTATGATTTCTTCTATTTGTTTATCTATTGACAGTATCACTGTGTTGCTCAAGCTGGAGTGCAGTGGCACAGTCACGGCTCACTGCAGCCTCGACCTCTGTGGCTCAAGGGGTCCTCTTACCTCAGCCTCCCGAGTAGCTGGGGCCATGGGCTCTGGCCACCACGCCCAGCTAATTTTGTATTTTTTGTAGAGATAGGGTTTTGCCATGTTGCTCAGACTGTGATTTCCTCTTTAACCACTGGTTATTTAGGAATGTGTTGTTTAATATCCACATATTTGTGAATTTCCCAAATTTTCTTCCATTATTGATTTCTAAATTCATTCCATCATGTTTGGAGAACACACTGCATAATTTCAATCCTTGTGATTCTCCTGCCTCAGTCTCCCAAGTAGCTGGGACTACAGATGTGTGCCACCACACCCAGCTAATTTTTATTTTTATTTTTTGTATTTATAGTAGAGGCAGGATTTCACCGTGTTGGCCAGGTTGGTTTTGATCTCTTGATCTCGTGATCTGCCCACCTTGACCTCCAAAAGTGCTAGCATTACAGGCATAAGCCACCATGCCTGGTGTATTCAAAACATTTTCTGTGTTCTTTTTTAAGTTCTAAAGTTTTCTCCACAGAGGTATTTTCTTCATGAATTCCTCGGTACTTGTACATTTTTCATTGAGCGGTACTTATTTTATGTTTATTTATTTATTTATTTATTTTTTTGAGATAGAGTCTTGCTCTGTTGTCCAGGCTGGAGTGCAGTTGTGCAATCTCAGCTAACTGCAACCTCCACCTCCCAGGTTCAAGCAATTATCCTTCCTCAGCCTTCCGAGTAGCTGGGATTATAGGCATGTGCCACCACATCCAGCTATTTTTTTTTTTTTTTTTTTTAGTTTTTTTTTTATTTTTAGTAGAGATGGGGTTTCAATATGTTGGTCAGGCTGGTCTCGATCTCCTGACCTTGTGATCCGCCCGCCTTGGCCTCCCAAAGTGCTGGGATTACAGGTGTGAACCACCACGGCTGGCCCTTATGTTTGTTTATTACTAGTGTTCAGAAATGATACTAATTTCGTAGGTTAATCATGTGGCTGGAAAATGTGCTAAAATGTCATTCTAAAAGTTTTGGTTTTTTTTTTTTTTGAGACTGAGTCTCACTCTGTTGCCCAGGATGGAGTGCAATGGTGTGATCTTGGCTCAATGCAACCTCTGCCTCCCGGGTTCAAGCGATTCTCTTGCCTCAGCCTCCCGAGTAGCTGGGATGATAGGCGCCTGAACCACGCCCAGCTATTTTTTTTGTTGTTTTTAGTAGAGACAGGGTTTCACCATGTTGGCCAGGATGGTCTCGAACTCCTGACCTCGTGATCCACCTGCCTTGGCCTCCCAAAGTGCTAGGATTACAAGCGTGAGTGACCACGCCCGGCTTTTTTTTTTTTGAGATGAAGTCTTACTTTTGTCCCCCAGGCTGGAGTGTGATGACGCGATCTTGGCTCACTGCAACCTCTGCCTCCCAGGTTCAAGTGATTCTCTTGCCTCAGCCTCCCCAGTAGCTGGGATTATAGGCGCCCACCACCGCGCCCAGCTAATTTTTGTATTTTTAGTAGAGATGGGGTTTCACCATGTTGGCCAGGCTGGTCTCGAAATCCTGACCTCAGGTGATCCACCTGCATCGGCCTCCCAAAGTACTGGGATTACAGACATGAGCCACCAAGCCCGGACCATTCTAAAAGTTTGACTATTTTTATTTTGTTAGATTTGCAAGTTTATCACCTCACCTTCAAAACTCTGTTTTTATTTCTTCCTGTGCCAGTTTTTACACCTTTTATTATGTCTGGACCATTGTACTCTCTCTATATATATATTTATTTTTTTCATTGTACTATATATTAAAACTAGTGGTAACAGTAATTTCCCCTCAAATTAGGACTGAAAGTCCCCTTAAAAAAAAAAAAGACCAAACTCAGCCTGGGCAACATGGCAAGACCCCGTCTCTGCTAAAAATACAAAAATTAGTCAGGCATGGTGATGTGTGTCTGTAGTCTCAGCTACTCAGAAGGCTGAGGTGGGAGGATTGTTTGAGTCCAGGAGGCAGAGGCTGCAGTGAGCCAAGATGGTGCCACTGCACTCCAGCCTCGGTGACAGACTGCTGTCTCAAAAAACAACAACAGCAACAACAAAAACCCTAAAAATTGGAAACAAAATGTAAGTTTATGACCTCTTCTCATTAAAAGTGGATGATAGTGTGTTCACTTCCACAACACATATACTAAAATCGGAACGATACAGACAGAAAGTGGATGATGTTTTCTTTGGTTTCCTTGAAAAAAAAAAAGTGTTTTTAAACTGGATAACCCAACTGGGTGCAATGGTGCACTCCTGTATTCCTAGCACTTTGGGAGGCTGAGGCAGGTGGATGGCGTTAAGTCCAGGAAGTCGAGACCAGCCTGGGCAACGTGGCAAAACCTTGTCTCTACAAAAAATGCAAAAATTGGCCAGGCTCAGTGGCTCAAAGTGTTGTAATCCCAGCACTTTGAGAGGTCAAGGCAGGCAGATCACTGGAGGTCAGGAGTTCGAGACCAGCCTGGGCAACATGGTGAAACCCCATCTCTACTAAAAATATGAAATTTAGCCAGGCATGGTGGCACATGCCTGTAATCCCAGCTACTTAGGAGGCTGAGGCAGGAGAATCACTTGAATCCCGGGAGGTGGAGGTTGCAGTGAGCCGATATCCCGCCACTGTACTCCACCCTGGGTGACAGTGTGAAACTCTGTCTCAAAAACAAAAATTAGCCAGGTGTGGCGGTGGGCACCTGTAGTCCTAGCTACTCAGGAGGCTGAGGTGGGAGTCCAGGAGGTCAAGGCTTTGATGAGCTGTGATTGTACCACTATATTCCAGCCTGGGTGACAGAGTGAGACCTACTTTCATAAAAATGAAGTGGGAAACCCCCAAAACCACTGTCCTACTTTTAGAAACTCCAGGATAGTTTTGGGAAGGGAATTTTGGCATCTCACTGGCCGTGTAAGGGACTAGGCAGGCTTCTCAGGGAGAATTGTGGGGCTGATTACGTAGTGCCCAGCTCTACTTGGAAAACTCTTTTTGCAACATTCCCATGGAAATCAGAGGCACAGACCCAGATGTTTGGGTTAAAAGGAGACAAAGGAAAAAAAAGTCATGTACAAGAGGCAAGAAGACCTCCTTTCTAAATGGTCCATATTTATTAGTACTCTAGTCCCAAGTCTACCATATTGGAGGTTTTCTGAAATTCCAGGCTATCTGTTAGACTGTAGGCTTGACAGCCTTGGCTTGTCATACTGGGCCAGGTTTGTGCGGGAGATAGGCCTACAGCTGGACCAGCAAAGGTGCTGAGAGAGGAACCCTGTCCTCCTACCTGGTACTTTGTGGGTGAGAGATACTGATACAGACAGTGGAAAGAAGAGCTGGATATCTCATTCTCATCAGGAAGATTGTACAGTTCTATGATTTGGAATATGTCATAGGCATCAGAGTACAAAGCAGGTACTGAGGCCACCAGCCTCTCCCACTGAGTATCTTGCATTTGGAAGTCACTTGTGGAACTCTCAGTGAAGGTAGAGTTCCATGCCCTCTTGGAAGGGACTAAGGGCTGAGGTGGAAGGGAGCTGTAGAAATCTGAAACCACAGGAGAAAAAGCATAAGGACTGAGGGATGTTCTGGGGGAGGTGGGCACATTTTTCTTGGATGAAGGGATCTGGTTTCGTTGCTTTGCTGATTGCTGCTGCTGCTGCTGCTGCTGCTGTTGCTGCTGCTGCTGCTGCTGCTTCTTCAATTTGAATCGCCGGTTCCTGAACCAAACCTGGGAGTGGGGGAAGAGAGGAGATTGTGGGCTGTTCTTGGAGAAGGCATTTGAGGCTTCTCCTGAGTGAAAACAGCCAGGTTATAATCTTAATGTCCTCTCAAATTCACCATGACACTGGGCTCTGCAAAAGCAGAGATGGGCATGACTGGAGTCAATAGGAGGGATGACGAAGATCAGGTCTGGGACCCCAGAAAGGAAGAAAGTGGGTGTGTTTCAGGGTTTGTGATGGGGGTTCAGAGACAGGGTCCTGAACTCTAGAGAAGAGAGGCTGGTTCAGGGATCTAGGATCTAGGGAGAGGTGAATAATTTGAACTGAAAGATTTTTAAGGATTATTTCAGGAGGCCTCTACTGTAAGGAATACTCCAATAAAAATGTATGGCTGGCAGGGCACAGTGGCTCACTCCTGTAATCCCAGCACTTTGGGAAGCCGAGGTGGGCAGATCACGAGGTCAGGAGATAGAGACCATCCTGGTTAACACGGTGAAACCCCGTCTCTACTAAAAATACAAAAATTAGCCAGGCGCAGTGGCAGGCGCCTATAGTCCTAGCTACACGGGAGGCTGAGAATGGCGTGAACCCGGGAGGCGGAGCTTGCAGTGAGTGGAGATCATGCCACTGCACTCTAGCCTGGGTGACAGAGAGAGACTCCATCTCAAAAACAAAAACAAGAAAAAAATGTATGGCCAGTCACGGTGGCTCACATCTGTAATATCAGCACTTTGAGAGTCTAAGACGAGGGGATCACTTGAGCTCAGGAGTTTGAGACCAGCCTGGGCAACATAGTGAGACTCCCATTTCTAAAAAAAAAAAAAAAAAGAAAGAAGAAAAAGAAAAATGTCATGGGCTTTAGCAGGCTCAGAGGTTAGAGGGAGTATTATTTGCCTGTTGGTAGCATTATGAATAAACAGATTGCAGGGCTTTGCTTAAAAAGACTCTAAGTGAGGAGTCTGTCTGGATGAGCACCTTTCCCCTATTTGAACTCTATAGTACAAATGTTAAAAATCTGATTTCTGGAGTTTTAATTCTAGCAACACTATTTCTTATCTCTGTGGCCCAGTCACTTTGCCTCTGAACCTCATTTTTTCTCATTTTTCAAACTGCATGAGTGAGGCCAGTCTGTCCCCAGTTTGATACCGTTTCAGTAGGTACTCAATGAAATACAATTGTGGGGCAGGGGTGGAGGGTGGGGAATTTCCAGGCTGGATAGGTGAATGTGGCTTGGATGGGGGTACCAAGCACACCACAGGGGATTAGACCTTTACTGTTGACTCCGGCAGGTTGAGTTTCAAAGCTAGTTTCTCCTGAAGATGTCTATCTGGGAACATGGTCTGGCTAAACAGAGCTTCTAGCGCTTCATACTGCTGGTGGGAGAATGAAGTACGTTCTTGATGCCTTCTCCATGTTGCTTCAGGGCAGAGATAAAGAAGGGGTGGTTACATTTACATTACCAATCTCTCCCCCTACCAAAACAACAAAAACCAAAAAACAAATCACTATGGTGAATCTCCCATGCCTTTCCTCCAACCAGGCTTAAGATCCAGAAAATGCAGATCCCAGGTCTTGATTCTGAATGGCTGAGCCCTGTGTAACAATGCTCTGTTCTCTGCTTTCTAGGATTTTGTCTCTGATAGGACATGAGTTACCTCTTCAATTTGCTGTGTACTCAGTCTGTTCACTCTGGAAACTGGCTCCCCTGAGTTTTAGTTTGCCTGCCTGCACTGAAAAGTTTTCTGTTTTACTTTTATTCTCTGGTACTCAGTCTTTCTACCCCACCTAACCTCAGGACAGTGGATAGTAGCTTCTGTCTTCTCATCTTTCTCACACGTTCGTTATTCTAGAAACTAGGAATATTCTGTGCAAGAGCTAGCCAAAAAATTTTTTTTTATTATGAAATAGAAAAAACTAGGAATAAACCCCATGTGTTTGCACCTGAATATAACCCACTGGTCTAAATGGGTTTCCTCTCTTCATTTATTTGTTCAGGAATCCAGCCCATCTCATCTGGCAAATAGGATTTTTCTTTCTTTCTCTCTCTCTCTCTTTTTTTAGAGACAAAGTCTTGCTTTGTTGCCCAGGCTGGAGTGCTGTGGCACGATCATAGTTCATTGCAACCTTGAATTCTTGAGCTCCTGCAATCCTCTGGCCTCCTCCTTCTGAGTAGCTAGGACTACAGGCACTATCACCACTCCTGGCTAATTAAAAAACTTTTTTTTCGGCTGGGCACGGTGGCTTACATCTGTAATCCCAGCACTTTGGGATTACCACCATACTTGGATAATTTTTTGAGAGATGGAATCTCACTATGTTGCCCAGCCTGGTCTCAAACTCCTGCTTTGGCCTCCCCAAGTGGGATTATAGGTGTGAACCACCATGCCCAGCATAGACCCTGCTTTGTGAAATTGCTGTATCATATGGTAAGTCTATTTTTAATTTTTGAGGTACCATCATCCTGTTTTTCACAGCGGCAGCACCATTTTACATTCCTGCGAGCATTCTAATTTCTCCCCATCCCCACTGATACTTGTTATTTTCTGTTTCTTTGATAGTTGTCATCCTAATGGGTGTGGTTTTGATTTTCTTTCCCCTAATAATTAATTTTGCTGAACATCTTTCATGGATTTGTCCATTTGTATATCTTCTTTGGAGAAAGATCTATTCAAGTTTTTGCCTTTTTTTTTTTTTTTTTTTTTTTTTTTTTTTTTTTTGAGACGGAGTTTTGCTCTTGTTGCCCAGGCTGGAGTTCAATGGCGTGATCTCGGCTCACCGCAAACTCCGCCTCCCGGGTTCAAGTGATTCTCCTGCCTCAGCCTCCCGAGTAGCTGGGATTACAGACATGCACAACCACACCTGACTAATTTTGTATTTTTAGTAGAGACGGGGTTTCTCCATGTTGTCAGGCTGATCTTGAACTCCTGACCTCAGGTTTTTGCCCATTTTTAATTGGATTTTTTTTATTGTTGTTGAGTTCTAGTTTTGTATGTATTATAGCTATTAACCCCTTATTAGATAAATGCTTTGCAAATATTTTCTCCCACTCCATAGTTTGCTATTTTACTTTTTTTTTTTCTTTTTTGAGACAGAGTCTCTCTCTGCCACCCAAGCTGGAGTGCAGTGGCATGATCTCTGCTGCAGTCTCCGTCTCCCAAGTTCAAGCAACTCTCCCACCTCAGCCTCCCAACTAGCTGGGACTACAGGCGACTGCCACCATGCCTGGCTACTTTTTGTATTTTTAGTAGAGACGGGGTTTCACCATGTTGGCCAGGCTGGTTTAGAACTCCTGACCTCAGGTGGTCCACGCATCTCGGCCTCCCAAAGTACCGGGATTACAGGCATGAGCCACCATGCCCGGCCCCATTTCACCCTTTCGATTGTGTCCTTTGATCATACAAGCTTTTATTTTTAATGTAGTCTGATTTATCTACTTATATTTTGTTGCCTATGCTTTTGGTGTCATATCCAAGAAACCATTGCTAAATCAAATGTCAAAGCTTTTCCCCTATGTTTTTTCTCAGAACTTTGCAGTTTTAGCTTTTGTGTTTAGGACTTGATCCATTTTAATTTTTGCGTGTGGTAAGATAAGGATCCAACATCATTCTTTTCCATGTGGATATTCAGTTTTCCCAACACCATTTGTTTCAGAGACTGTCCTGTCCCAATTGAATGGCCTTAGCACCGTTGTTGACTATATGTGCAAGGATGTATTTCTGGACTTTGTTCTCTTCTATTGGTCTATATATCTGTCTTTATGCCAGCATCACACTCTTTGATTACTGTAATTTGTAATAAATGTTGAGATTACATAATATGAAGCCTCTAGCTTTGTTCATCTGTTCATCTTTTTCAACATTATTTTGGCTATTTGGGATTCCTTGAGACTTTATATAAATTTTTGGATAGACATTTTTAGTTTCTGCAAAAAGCACCATTGGGATTTTTATAGGGATTGCATTAAATCTGTAAATTGCCTAGGTAGTACTGACATATTAATAATATTAAGCCTGGCCGGGCACTGGTGGCTCACACCTGTAATCCTAGCACTTTGGAAGGCTGAGGCTCATGGATCACCCAAGGTCATGAGTTCAAGACCATCCAGCCTGATCAACATGGTGAAACTCCCTCTCTACTAAAAATACAAAAATTAGCCAGGTGTGGTCACGCATGCCTGTAATCCCAGCTATTTGGGAGGCTGAGGCAGGAGAATCACTTGATTCTAGGAAGTGTAGGTTACAGTGATCCAAGATTGCGCCATTCCACTCCAGCCTGGGCAATAAGAGCAAAACTCCATCTTTAAAGAAAAATAATAATAATAATAATAAGCCGGCCAGGCTTGGTGGCTCATGCCTGTAATCCCAGCACTTTGGGAAGCAGAGGCAGGCGGATCACAAGGTCAGGAGTTAGCTGGGCGCGGTGGCTCACGCCTATAATCCCAGTACTTTGAGAGGCCAAGGCGGGTGGATCACCTAAGGTCGGCAGATTGAGACCATCCTGACTAACATGGTGAAACCCCATCTCTACTAAAAATAGAAAAAATTAGCCAGGTGTGGTGCCACGTGCCTGTAATCCCAGCTATTCAGGAGGCTGAGGCAGGAGAATCGCTTGAACCCGGGAGACAGAGGTTGCAGTGAGCTGAGGTCGCACCATTGCAGTCCAGCCTGGGCAACAAGAGTGAAACTCCATCTCAAAAACAAACAAACGAACAAAACCCCAAAGGTCAGGAGTTTGAGACCAGCCTGGCCAATGTGGTGAAACCCCATCTCTACTAAAAATACAAAAAAAAAAAAAAAAAATTAGCGGGGCATGGTGGTGCATGCCTGTAGTCCCAGCTACTTGGGAGGCTGAGACAGAAGAATCACTTGAACCCGGGAGGCGGAGTTTGCAATGAGCCAAGATCACAACGGCACTCCAGCCTGGGTGACAGAGCAAGACTCCATCTCAAAAATGATGATGATAATAATAATAATAATAATAATATTAAGCCTTCCCATTTATGCACATGGAGTGTCTTTCCATTTGTATCTTTAATTTATTTCAGCAACGTTTTATAGTTTTCAATGGACAAGTCTTTCACATCCTTGGTTAAGTTTATTTCTTAGTACTTAATTATTTTTGATGCTGTTGTAAATGGAGTTATTTTCATAATTTTCTTTTCTGATTGTATATTATTAGTGTATAGAAAAACCACTGATTTGTATACAGTTTTACATATTTTTAAAGGTAAACATTGTATACAAACAATGTTTGGAAAACCTCCAGGGTAAAATATCAAATAACAAATACATATTTCAGAACAATTCACTAAGATCCACCTTATGTAAATAAATCTTTTTATACATGTATACACTACTACTCTGAATAATGAACTTTTTTTTAAATTTTAATTTTTCCAACATATTGGGCCACAATATACCTGCCTTGGAAAAGGAGATTTCTCAATTTCTATCTCTCTATGCTTCAGATGTTTTCTCCTAGAAAAACGTTCTCACTTGCTCTACATATTATATTCTTAGCTTATCTCTCATAATTTGAATCAACCATGGACCAAAGGCCCATTTGATTTGAAATGTATTTCTCCTTTTATAATGGGAAGACTTTTTGAATAAATTTTTAGCAACAATCAATAGCTGCCTTAAAACAAATGCAAAATGCAATTACAGGGCCACATGAGAAGGGGGCAGTAGAGAGAGAAAGAGGAGAAAGGAGGATGATACTCACTGGGACGAGCTGGATCCTGCGGTTGTATCACCTTCATGTTGGGATCTTTCCTGTTGATGAAAGGGTCTGGCTGGCGATTCCCTGGGGCCATTCTGTTCATCGTGGTGTCTGAAATCTGAGATGGAAGGCCTATGAGATAGGGAATGCTGATGAGGAATTCATTCGCTGGATAGCAATGCTTTCAAGGAGCCTGAGCTTGCTGTATTACATCTGGCAAGTGAGGTTAACCCCCAATTGCTCTACCTCAGCTGGAAAATGATTCATATTTTATAACATAGAGAAATACTCTAGCTGTACTTGTCAAAAATGAAACTTTAGAAATAACAAAAGAAATCGTGTGTCAATATCTTTGTGACTCAAAGTAGAGGGATATTTCTTCGATGAGATTGTTGAAGTGCAATCTATATACGAAAAGATAGAGATCAAATGACCACAGGTTTCTCATCAGAAACAAAGACAGTTCTTTTCTTTTAGCACTTCAAAGGTTTTGTTCCACTGTCAACTTAGATTCTTTTTTACACCACTTGCCATCACTCCCAATCAACTCAGATTCCATATCCAGGGAAAATATCTTGCAGGAAAGAAGGTGAAAAGAAGACATTCTCAGAACTATGAGAATCTGTGGCTGGTAGTCCTGTTCTATGGAGTGTTCAAGAAAGTTCTTCCTAAGAGGGAAAATTGGAACTTCAAGAATAAAGGAAAAGCCACACATATGGTAAACATCTGGTTACATATAATAGGTCTTAAATTTGTAAAAGTTATTTGGAATGTATATGAATATTGAAAGCAAAAATTACCATATTATTTATTGGTTTTGTTTTGTTTACTTTTAATTTTCAACTAATTTCAGATTCACAAGAGCAAAATAATATATATGGTGAAGGTGCTGCACACACTTCAGCTAGCCTCCCTCAGTGGTGACATCTTGCATGTTATTTTACTTTTTCACTCTTATTCTATAACAAATGTATAGGGGAATAAATTTAGAAGAGCTTCTTAATTCATAAACCAATATTTTGCAAATGACCAGTATGTAATGTTACAAAATCATATGTGAGTAAAAGATCCACTCAAAGTCCAATGTAGGCCAATGGATTTTAATGTGACAGAGTTTGAAAAGTTCATTCATATGATTTCAAATTTCACATTGCAGACTGGGCATGGTGGTTCATGCCTGTAATCCCAGCACTTTGGAAAGCCAAGGAGGGTGAATTACTTGAGGTCAGGAGTTTGAGACCAGCCTGACCAACATGGTAAAACCCCGTCTCTACTAAGAATATGAAAATTAGCTGGGCGTGGTGGCACGTACCTGTAGTCCCAGCTACTAGGGAGGCTGAGGCAGAAGAATCGCTTGAACCTGGGAGGCAGAGGTTGCAGTGATCTGAGATCATGCCACTGCACTCCAGCCTGGGCGACAGAGTGAGACGCTGCCTCAAAAAAAGAAAACAAATTTCACATTGCAACTCATCTTTAAGAAACTGCTACTTGTTGAGTTCGTGTTGTAGTTTCAAAGAATATCCACAATTATTTCAAAGGCTATAAGAATACTCCTTTTCCTAGCATCATATCTGTATAAGGTCAGATTTTCTTCTTACACTTCAAAGTAATGCATCAGAAAAGGGACTGCAAAGCAGAAGAGAATTCTGTCATCTTCCATTAAGCCCTAAAGTACTAAAATATAAAACAATGCCACTGGTCTCACAATTTGTATGTGTGTGGGAAATATAGTTAACATGTAATGCATTTATCATTTTATTTTGAAAGGAATGAATAAATATATTTTAATCTTTCAGTTTTCACTTTGAATATGGTAAATATCTAGGTATATCCTATAGAAACAAAAGTTCTTTGGAGCCCTCAACAATTTTTAAGAATATAAAGAGGTTCTGAGACCAAAAAGTTTGAACAGCAATAACAAGGGATGGCCTAAGGCTTGGCATTTAATTGAAAAGAAATTAAACTTAACTAAGCATCTGTTCTTCAGTACAATCCTAAGAGTGAAGAAATGATGCAGTAACATTCAGTAGCAGCATTAGGATACTGTCAGACATTCAAGTGCTTCATATACATGATTCATGTGATCCTCGGCAAACACATGGGATAATGGACAATTATTATCAACCTCTTAAAGATGAAGAGACATGAGATCTAAAAGTTTGGCCAGGTAGAGGAGAAGCATAGCTGGGAATGAATCAGGTCTTACTGACTCTTGTACACACAGTCTATAAACCCTGGCCCTCTTTCCTGGGATGGGCATTGAGAGTCTGCAGCTTAAACTAGCATATTAAAGAAACAAAGAAGCAAATGATTCAACTGGTCTACAGTGCTTTCCCTCATCAAGGCTATGGAGATCATAAGGCAGAATTGCCACTAGCAGAACCACATTTACTCAGCAAAATTTTATTGCCTACCACCTACAAATGGGCACTTACATAAGTCTGTGGACTCTGCAATGAATGAAGTACACAAAAATAGTTGCTATGATGGAGTTTACATTCTAATTAAAGATTTCCAAAGGTCTGGCTAACACAGGTGGGGAAAGCTTGGGAGCCCTGCAGAACAGACCACCACACTCAGTAAGTAAGGAGTCTCACATTCACTCCCTGATTTTCATGAGGTGAACAGTCAGCCTTTCTGAGGTTTCTTCTGTCCCCTACTTGCAACCCTCTATATCATGTCCCTCTAATGTGAATGGGCTGAGTGGTTTGCACCTTTTAATATTGCTCCTTTGATTTTTCAAATCCTCTTTGAGCACTTAAAGCCCCACATTCTGGCTACCCTCCGCGCCTCCCCATGCTTACCTGTCATGAATCCCTTAGACTAACTATTTTCAGTCCTGCATGGTGTGTCTCTCTCTGCAAATGCAGTTTCCTTAGTGTGTCCTCATGCAGAAGACCCTGTATTTAAAGGCAGTTTTTATACAATCAGACCTCCTCCTGCCCCTGCACCACCCAGACACACCCTGATGTCCCACCCTTCATTCATTCATTTGTTCATTCAATAAAAGTATGCTTAGAGCATAGTGTAACTATTGCTGAAAATACTCATTATTCTTTTTTTATACTCAAACTTCCTACCTTTGACTACCCTTCAAGGCGGCTCCTGTGCTTTCTGATGCAACCACATTTTTACTTTTACGCTTGTGTTGTTCAAAGTTTTAGGTGTAAAATTCCTCTAGGTGTGGTAACACTTGCCTGTGGTCTGAGGTACCTGGGAGGCTGAGGTGGAAGGATCACTTCGGCCTGGGAGGTTGAGGCTGCAGTGAGCCCTAATTGCACCAATCTACTCCAGTCTGGGCAACAGAGCAAGAGAGCAAGACCCTACCTCAAAAAAATGAAAATAAAGTTTTAGAAGTGTGTCTTTAAAATAGTGATCCAATCTGAGAATTTTCTTATGGAATAATCCATTTATATTTGATAGGATAAGAACACAGTAATCCCACCTTATCCACAGTTTTGCTTTTTGTGGTTTTAGTCAACTGTCATCCAAAAATATTAAATGGAAACTTCCATAAATAAAAAATGTGTAAGTTTTCTTTTCTTTTCTTTTTTTTTTTTTTTTTTTGAGATAGAGTTTCACTCTTGTTGTCCAGGCTGGAATGCAATGGCATGATATCAGCTCACTGCAATATCCACCTCCTGGATTCAAGCGGTTCTCCTGCCTCAGCCTCCCAAGGAGGTAGGATTGGAGGCGTGCGCAACCACACCAGCTAATTTTGTGTTTTTTCAGTAGAGACGGGGTTTCACCATGTTGATCAGGCTGTCTTGAACTTCTGACCTCAAGTGATCCACCCGCCTTGGCCTCCCAGAGTGCTGGGATTACAGGAGTGAGTCACCATGCCCAGCCCTTTTTTTTTTTTAATGCTCAAATTTTAAATTGGCTCTACTGCTCCTCCCAGGATGTGAATCATTCCTTCGTCCAGTGTATCCATGCTGTATAAGCTACCTGGCCTACACGATGTGGTTGTATAGGAAGAAACTGAGGATCCTGGAATGTATCCGCATGGATAATGGGGGGATCACTACTTATTTCTACCTAATTTCTTACAATCTTTGTGTGTTTTTAACTTTTCCAGCCTTCTGTTAGAATGGTTGCATTTTATTTTCTCCCCCTCTCAAATGGTATGTAAGTTATATGCAAGATTTAAAGTTACATTATTTTTATTTATACTTTGTTTAGAAATGGTGTTCACTCTGTCACCCAAGCTGGACTGTAGTGGTGCCATCATGACTCTGCAGCCTTGACCTCCTGGGCTAGAATGATTTTCTCACTGCAGCCTCCCCAGTAGCTGGGACTACAGGTAAGGACCACCACCTCAGTTAATTTTTTAAAACAATATTTTTGTAGAGACGGGGTGTTGCTAGGTTGCCCGGGCTGGTCTAGAACACCTGGGCCCAAGTGATCCTCCTGCCTTGGCTCCCCAAAATGCTGGGATTACAGGCATGAATCACTATGTCCAGCCTAAATTTGCTTTTATGTTCCTAAAAGCGGTCGTTATTATTTTTGTCATAAATATTTGTTTAGATTTAACCACATGTTTATCAAGTGCTTTGATCATCATTGCTTCTTTCATCCTCTTTCTTTTGGCCACAGCGTTATTTTTTCTGATGTAGAATCAACAATAGTTCTTCTAATTGTAAACATTTTCAAACTTTCTTTGTCTAAAAATGTCTTTATTATGTTATCATTCTTGCAAAATAGGTTAGGTGAGTACAGAAGCCATTTATTTGAGAAGTCTGCTAACATCCAAACTTTTATTCCCTTGCAGATAATTGTTCTCTACTCTCTAGTTGCTTTTATTTTATTTTTCTAAGATGGAGTCTTGCTCTGTCACCCAGGCTGGAGTGCAGTGGCACGATCTCTGCTCACTGTAACCTCTGCCTCCCAGGTTCAAGCAATTCTCCTGTCTCAGCCTCCCGAATAGCTCAGATTATAGGCGCAAGCCACCTCGCCCCAGCTATACATGTGTGTGTGTGTGTGTGTGTGTGTGTGTGTATGTGTATATATATGTATGTGTGTATTTTTGTATTGTTTTGTAGAGACAGGGTTTTACCACATTGGCCAGTCTGGTCTCAAACTACTGATCTCGTGATCCGCCCA